AGAATCGCACTGAAATATCAGCTCTTTAAATATCAGATTTAGATGGTTTAAAAATGATATAAATATCAGATTTAGAGACAAGAACGGGATCGGAGGGAATTCCCGATCCTTTATTGACCCCGACGGACCAAACAACCTGACCCCTCCTCGCCTGTTTCTGTCCCTCATGGCCTGCAGGGATAAACTTGGGAGGTTTTATAACGGTGCGCTCTCTCTCTCCCCCTCCCAGCAGAAGCACTTAAAGCTCTTTCATGTTGCTTTTCTTCTCTTTCTTCTTTGTCGCAGCCTGAATGCGACGGCGGGAGCCGCCGGCTGCTGGCCTTAATGCTCCTCCACTGAATCTGCTTTGTTGCTGCTTCGTCCTGAGAAAACGCCGTCCTGACTGAAGTCGCTCCATAATTCATCAAACACAAACCACTTCTGGTTTCACTTCATTTCCTGCATCTTAATCAGCTGCGGTCAAAAGGAGACAAACACGTTTAATGAAGTTCAACACAAAACTTTGGTCTGATATTAACATCAAACCTGTTCTGGTTCCATAAGAACATCAGATATTAATAATCATGTCTCTCTTCCTTTCTTTGTTTCGTTTAGATTTCCTCCTGTTTCTCTTCTGTGACAGTTTGTTTTTATTTCTTTTATTCAGTTGATTTTTTGCTGTTTCAATCAATTTTTTTGGGGGGGGGGGATTCTTCCAAAATTTTTCCTGTTTTATACGGAGGACTGACACTGCCAAAATTATCAATAAGTGTAGAAATAAATGGTTTAACAAAGTAATTCTTGAGAACAATATTGCATCCAAAAAATAAGAACTTCCTCAACTTATTTATTATTTGGTGTAACTAATTTATATTAATGTAACTGATATATCACATTTATTTTCCCAGTCTTAGTGTTCTGTAAATTGGTTTTCTTTTATCTCTTCATATTCTGTGCTTAATATATATTTTTTGATTTCCCTTTACATTTTATTTGGGAATGGAGAGCCTGAGCGTGTGTTAGCTGCTAATGAGGGGCGGCGGCGGCGGCGGCGGCAGATCCCGGTTCATTCCAGGTGAGATTCTGGGAAACATCAGAGAACGCCTCGGCTTCCTTTAATCGATCGTTTCTTCTTCTGCACTTCAAACGTGAAGCAGAAACTTTCTCCTTCCTGCCTAAATGTTGCTGCAACGTATCTGCAGTCAGGCAGAGTCTGCAGCTGCATCCAGATCAGAGGAACCACACCGATCACCACTCTACCTGCCGGTTCTGATTCTGACTTGATCCGATTCACTTTCAGCTACAAAACAATAAATATGCAGCAGAATACGAAGGAATAAACAGATTGTGGCACAAATTTAACCAAGTGTTTGTATTTTAGCTTGAGAAAAAACAGCATCAGCAGAAAAACAGCAAGGCTGAAAAGTTCTTTCCATTCCTCAAATGCCTGCAGGTGCAAATTAGCATCAAAGCTGAATTTACATTGAAGGTGTGTGCAGCGTTCAAATGTATAATCTCTAATGGATGGGACTGTCACAATAAGCAATAAATCAATTAATCCCACAATAAATTTAAAACCCATCTCAATAATTTTCATTTCATGATTTATTGTTTTTCTTTTTTCTCAAAAGTCGGATGATAAAAATCTTCGGTTTGGTTTTGGTCTCTACTTTGTTTAAAATAATTATTTTATTTGTTGTTTTGTTTATTTAAAATGTTTCCAGTTCCAGTGCTAAAGGCTTGTTATGGTTTATTGATCATTCAGAATGTGCTCTTGGATCGTTATTATTCCATTATTACCGTTATGTTGTTATATTTAGCATCAAACATGTCCTCAGATTTTATCTGATTTTTCCTCAAACTCAGAAAAAGAGCATCAAAGTTCAGGCTGGTGGTTGAAACGATGACTGACTGGAGTTCTGATTAGTTCTGATGCATTTAATCAATTTATATTTTTCAGTTAAATCTGAATTTAGTCTGTGGAGAGTTTACTGGAGCATCGCAAAACAAAAACTCGATTTAAAAACCTGAGACAGATCAAATCAAAGTCTGACATGCAAAACTGAAACATTTCACAGATTTATGATCAACTATTGGAACCAAAACAGTTTAAAACAGAGAGAGATCCAAATCGATCCTTTAGATCCAAATCGATCCTTTTGATCCAAATCACAACAAACCGATCAGAGGAGCCCCTTACAATGACTTGTTATGGCAAAATATAGACAGAACAAAAGAGTAAATTTCTGTCATAAAACTGAAATTTTGAGAATAATCTAAAAAAAATGTTAGAAAAAGAAAGAAAATTTCTGAGCTGCAAAAGTTTAAAAGGTGAGAAAAAGCTCAGAAATAGTGAGATTAATGGCTGAAGTTTTCAGGAAAAAACATGGAAATTTCTGAGTTCATTGAGTTAAAAGTATGAAAGAAAGAGACAAAATGATTTAAATTAATCTCAGAAATCCCAGAAATTTCTGAGTTTGAAAAAAACTTGCATTTTTAGGTTAATTTGAACAAGGAAATTTATGAGCTCCAATCTTAAAATATGTGCAACAAAAATGGTTTAGAATAATTTAAAAATATTTGAGAAAAAAATCAGTTTAAGTGGAAACATTTTCAGATTTTATAACTAATTTCCTTTTTTTTTTCTAGAACTTTTCCTTGGATTAATCCAAAATTTTTGACACAAATATAAGTTCTGACGGAGTCAGTTACTCCGTCAGAACTTCCTGATTTATTCAAAGCCAGGAATCGTGCAGTGAATTAAAGGACCAGATTCCTGCAGGTTAAGTGAAACTTTTGTCCCTGAGATGAATTTAAAGATGCTCTGTTGACCCAGCAGCTGCAGCAGCAGCAGCTGCAGCAGCTGGGTGGCTTAGATGCTGCAGCAGCAGCTGTAGCAGCAACATCCTCTTAAAACCACTTTAATTAAAGTAAGAGCTGAGGAAGCATCAGCAGCTGCATTACTTTTATTGCAAGGCCACATTTGTGACAAATGTCTCGGTGACACATGGCAGCAGCGCTAAGTGGCGCTCAGCCCGCAGCTTAAATTACTCCGCTAACTGGATGCGGCCATCAGACCCGCAAACGCGAGCGGCGGCGGGATCAACCCGCAGGCGTGGAGCTGCGCCCCCTGCTGGCAGCAGAACCGAGCCGCTTCAGGGTCTGGATGGGAACAGCAGCAGCGATCAGCCGGACCTGCTGCTTGACTCAAACAGCAGAACATGAGCGCGGACTGGACCGGACCGGACCGATGAGAGCAAACCGCTGCAGGACGTTCAATAAACTGGAAATATGTCAAACTTTTAACAACCGCCTTTTGGTTTTATTCATTCATTTCTCTGCTGCAAGATTATTAATTCAATACATGTATCTACATAAAAATATCAGCATAAGTTAAAAGTGGCTCCACTCTGCTGGTTCTGGTCCCGGTTTGTTTCCAACACGAGTCCAAATCGGGTTAAAACAACCAAACAAGCTCCTGGTTCTGGTTCCCCAGCTTACCTGCAGCGGGTTCGGTCCAGAACAAGTTGGCTCTGACGGCGGCGGGCGGCGGCTCCTCTAGGTTTTCCCCAGAACAAGTCGGTCCTGAAGCGGCAGCAAAGTCCTCAGCATCGCTGCAGTTTCCAACTTGACTCTGAGCTCCGCAGCAGCTCCTCTGGCGGCGGGCCGAAGATCAGCGGCGGAGCGAGAGGATTCACCCGCGTCCCTCCACCCTCTGCAGCCGATCAGCCAAATATCAGCACACAAAGATCAGCACAGGCGCCAAGAGCTCTCCCTGCCAAGACCCGATGCTGTGTTCAGGGAGATCGGGAAAGCTGGGTTTCCATTTATTTTTCTTAAAGCGTCTGATATTACGACGGTATATTAGGGCCACTGTAGATAGAAAAACAATATTAAGCTCTGAAATGTTCTACAAAAAACAAGAACATTTCTGAGCTCCAAAAATAAAACAATTGCAAGAATAAAATGGAAATTTTGAGATTAAGCTGAGAATTTTTTCAGAAAAACTTCGAAAATGGCCAAAAGTCAAAAATGCATCACTTTTGAAATTCGAAAATGACCAAATTTCTTTTCTAGAAAATTGATCTAAAAATTTCAGATTTTTTTCCAAAATAAAAAAAAACTTTAAAAACTTAGAAAGTTCCGCGTTTTTTGCAGAACATTAATGAGATTAATCCAATAAATTGTTTTATGGGGACATTTATCCCTCCTATCTACAGTGACCCCAATATGATGTTGGAGACAATTACAGGATCCAACATGGCGACGCAAACAAATATGGTACTTTGCCTCTTAAAAAACAGAATTTCAACCTTTACTTTCCACAGACTATCACTATAACAGTTTAGAGCTACAGACGCCAGATGTAGCATTGATTTCAGAAGCTCTCTTACATGTGTTGCCTCTAAAATCAGCATTTCAATCACATCTTCAGCTGTCGATGCCCGGAGCGGCCATTTTGAATCGTCCTGTCAGGTGGAGCTTCTGCCAAAATGTGACTTTTGTGCTGGTTGATTTTCTCTAACTGGGAAGACGGAATCTCACAGTTTGGACTACATCTGGAATACGTGATGAAAAGTTAGCTCTTCCAACTTTAGTCAATCAGCAGTTGCCCTAAATGAGCAACGTTGCATATTTGGGGAAAAATGCTGCATTTCAGTTCCCTCGGAAATCTATTTGACGTCACACCAAAGAAACAACGTTCTGGTAAATAAACAAAACAAAACAAAAAAAAAAATCCAACATGGCGATGGATTTTCTCAACAAATTTGATCAATGGAATCAATTATTAACATTAAAATATTTTACTTTGGTAAATGCATTTTCTAACATATGGCAAACATTCAAAAATAATTTTTTATCTTAGGAATTATTAAAACTTTTCACTTTTTAAAAAATTATTTTAATGATGTGATATTTCTATAGATCAAGTGTTCGTACTCGGAACACCAACAATCCGACAGCACCTGAATGCAACACAACGCGTAGAGCGTGATGACATCATGACGCTCTTCCTGCCCGGTCCGCCTGGTTCGGAGCTGTTTACATGTGAGAGCTCCTGGTCGGTCCTGAGGATGATCAAGACCGAGAAGGTTCTGCACCTGAAGAGCAGCCGCGGCCGGAAGGTTCGGGTGGTTCGGGAGCACTACCTGCGGGAACGGGTTCCCTGCTTCAGCGCGCTGTGCCAGGCGGGCTGCGAGAACGGTGAGGTCCGCGGGAGTCTGCGGCGGTTCGGGAGCTCGGTTCGGTTCTGCTGAAGGCCTGGGTTCACTGTGGCATGTGGGACATCTCTGGTCCGGTCCGGACCGGAGGATAAGACCCACAGTCCGGACCGGAACCAAAACTAGACGGACCAAAATTTCAATCAAATTTCCTGTTTGAATGAAATCAATAAATAAGTTGATCGATCAGTCAGAAAGTTTTCCTGAGTTCTAGATCCACTCAGTGGCATCAATGGGCCTGTCACGATAACATTTTACTGGCCGATTAATTGTCTCAAATATTATCGCGATAAACGATAATATTGTTTGAAGACCTTTTTACATTGATTTAATGGAAATTACGTGATAATACATGCGATTTCCTGCCAAAGATAGAAACACTTTACTTTCAAAAGACACTGAACACTGGGACTGATGCACAAAATAAATAACACAACCAAAACCAAAAATAAAATAGATTCTCAGTCTCCATTAACAATAAATGTACTTGAATAAAAACTAAACAACATAAAGCCAAAGTGGAAATAAACACTGCATTCAACCAAAAGAGTGCAGATTATGAAGTCTGTATATTATATTGGCCTTCAGTAATAATTAGATTTAAATAGAGAAGAATCCGACTGCCTGATGCAAAAGTTCAAACTACAGGATTTATTCCAAACGACAATCTTAGAACGTTATTCGTTCTGAGATTGTCACTTGTGTGTTACTGTAGATTGTTGTGTTACTGTAGATCGTTGTGTTACTGTAGATTGTTGTGTGTTACTGTAGATCGTTGTGTGTTACTGTAGATTGTTGTGTGTTACTGTAGATTGTTGTGTGTTACTATGGATCGTTGTGTTACTGTAGATTGTTGTGTGTTACTGTAGATCGTTGTGTGTTACTGTAGATCGTTGTGTGTTACTGTAGATCGTTGTGTTACTGTAGATCGTTGTGTGTTACTGTAGATTGTTGTGTGTTACTGTAGATTGTTGTGTGTTACTGTAGATTGTTGTGTGTTGCTGTAGATCGTTGTGTTACTGTAGATTGTTGTGTGTTACTGTAGATCGTTGTGTGTTACTGTAGATCGTTGTGTGTTACTGTAGATTGTTGTGTGTTACTGTAGATCGTTGTGTGTTGCTGTAGATCGTTGTGTGTTGCTGTAGATCGTTGTGTGTTACTGTAGATTGTTGTGTGTTACTGTAGATCGTTGTGTTACTGTAGATTGTTGTGTGTTACTGTAGATCGTTGTGTGTTACTGTAGATCGTTGTGTGTTACTGTAGATCGTTGCGTGTGACTGTAGATCATTGTGTTACTGTAGATCGTTGTGTGTTACTGTAGATCGTTGTGTGTTGCTGTAGATCGTTGTGTGTTGCTGTAGATCGTTGTGTGTTACTGTAGATCGTTGCGTGTGACTGTAGATCCTTGTGTTACTGTAGATCGTTGTGTGTTACTGTAGATCGTTGTGTGTTGCTGTAGATCGTTGTGTGTTACTGTAGATCGTTGTGTGTTACTGTAGATCGTTGTGTGTTACTGTAGATCGTTGTGTGTTGCTGTAGATCGTTGCGGCCGCTCCGATCTAAATCCAGGATTTGCCCAGACTGGGAGCTGAACGCAGCCTGTTGAATGTGACCGGGAGCCAATCAGAAAGCGCGGATTCCCCTCCTGCTTTAGGAGGGGAATCATGGAGGGGATCCCAAACAAATATCCTGACATATATTTCTAAATTAACACACAAAATCTGTTATGTTGATTGCAAAGAAGCACAAAAACAATCCTGGATGGACTGATTAGTGTGAAAAGATGTTCAATATTATATTTTAAGTAACAGTTATTGATGCTGAAACACCAATTTATTGATATTTTAACCATTTAATAGTTTTTATCCAGACGTTCTGGCCCAACAGGCCCTTTAAGAACCTTCTGGTTTTTGATCTGGACCCAAATGGAAATGAGTTTCATGTCCTGATATTCGGGATAAAACAAGAGAATCCTGTTTTGGATGTAAACAAGAATGAAGATATTTGGAGGTGGAATGATGTCACAGCACCAGCAAAGATTCTGTGATGTCACTGGCGATGCAGTCTGTGATGTCATCAACTGCAGAATCGTATGTAACACAATTCTGCATATTTGTCATTGCTTGCAATACCCCTGACCAGTTCAGACGCCCGCAAAGCACTTTCCAATCGACCGTTCACTTCGTTTCGAAATCGACAACTTTAGTGATTTTACTGGAATAAAAATGTCTCAAAATACAGAAAGACACCAGAACCGCAGACTGGCCCACCTGGAGGAGGAGCTGGAAGAAACCAAATTCCAGCTGCAGAAACAAACGGAGCTCAAAGTGGGATTTTTCAACAAGGCCCACAGAGCAACTGAGGAGCTGAAGAGACTCCAGAGATACACTGACACTGAAACACTGAAAGTTGTTGCTATTGCTTGTCAGGCTCACTTCAGTGTGGAAGACCTGGATAAAGAGGAGCTGCAACAAAAATACGAAGATTTAAAGGTGTCTCAGTTCCACATCCAGGACGCACTGCTGGCAGAAATGCATGATGAGAAGCAGCGAAATAAAGTCCTGGAAGACAAGCTGGATGACCTGAAGGCTTCGTATGAGGAGCTGCGCCGTAAATACGAAGCAGACGTTGGTGATGAGGCAAAGCTACATGAGGAACAGAGCCTGGAGAAGCTCAGAGTGGAGAAAGACAACATCATACATGACATGACCCAAAAGATCGACCTCCTGCAAGAAAATGAAAAACGTTTACAAGACGAACTTGAGGAGAGCAAACGTGGAACAAACGAACAATCAAAATTAATAAACGAGTTAAAGCAGCAGGCGGAGATTTACCAAGACAAAATAAAGAAAGCGGAAGCTGCACTTTACAAAGAAAGAAAAGAAAATGTCATCCTTGGATTAAACTACACTGTATTGATTGAACAATTTGAAAAGCTGGAGACACAGAAAGAAACTCTGATGGAGAAATCAGAGGAGGACACGGCGCTGGTGGAGGAAATAAGAAAGGAGTACGCCATCCTCCAACGCAAAGCAAACCAGGACGCCAAATTCCTGAAGAAAAACGCAAAGATTTTAAAGAAAGAATTGGATGAGAGCAAAACATTTTACAACAAGCTCAAACTTAAATTTAACTTGGATATTACTGGATTGAAGGAGGAGATGGAAAGATGTAAACAGAAAGTACAACAAGAGAAAGACGCCTCATTGCAATCAGCGACTGAGAAGCAGCAGCTCATCGACAGCCTGCGACAGGAAAACGCCGTCCTGGAGGAAAACACACGGCGAGAAATCCAGGTCCTCCAGGACAAGGACAGAAATGCACAGGATGAACTGGAGACGCTCAGAGTTTTGTTCAAGGAGCTGCAGTGTTCTTACATTCATGATGTTAATATGTTGAAGACACAGGCAGAGCAGTTCCAGGAAGAAATAAGCAGAATGAAGCAAGAATTGGAGACAACCAGAGATAAACTGCAGCCAGACACTGAGGAAGATCAGCATGAAGATCAGGAAACTACAGTTTCACAACAAGAGGAGGAAAAGAACCGGGTCGACCCGGTTATGGATTCTAGTCATCTTATTTCCTCGGAGGAGGATTTAGCAAGAGAACCAATACCAGGATGTTCAAATGATCTGGAATCCATACAAGACGACATCGATGAGGAAACCATCCAGCAGGATTTAGAGACTCCAGATATGAACAGCAAACAAGAAGGAAAGAAGAAAAAACCAAAGACTCCAATTTGGAAAAAAATTCGAAACATCTTTAGATTGAAGAAGACAAAAAAAACAACACAGGAGTGAATTCAATAAAAAACGAGGCCTGTGGCGATTCGGCCTGTTATGATAACAGATTTTACTGAGCGATTTAATCGTCTCAAAAAATTATCGCGATAAACTATAATATTGTTTGAAGATCTTTTCACACTGATTTAATGGATATTACGTAATAATACATGCGACTTCCTGCCACAGATAGATACACTTTACTTTCAAAACAACACAGAGAGGAATCCTGAACAGCTGACACGGTGCAACCCGAAGTCCAGCAGACATCGGAGATGATATGTGGAAACATGAATGTTTAACCAACATTTCATGCAAAGAAAATATAAATAACTCGGGGAGGAGTTGGAGCGAAATTTCCACCAGAAAACCTGGTAACTTTTCAGCTGTTCTTTGTTAAGGTGACATAAAATGGTTATAATGATTTTCATTCAGTCAGACTGACACTCGCTACATGCATTGCAGGTAGATTGTAGTAAGGAATTGTTTAATGCCTGGTTTCAATATTAGTGAACTGGATTTATTATTTTGTGTCCATTGTTGGACACAACACGGTTCGATCGAACCGTTATAGCCAGGATTTCTGTCGGCTGATGTGTCTCTCAGGTTTTGATAATGGCCGACAATCGGCGACATCAGATGGTGCAGCGCGCGCTGGGCGTTACGCTAAGGAAGTAAGGAAGGGAGGGTCAGTGGAGAGCAGCGGAGTTTCATTCAGTGTCATCAACAGTAAGAGAAAAAGGCAGGAAGAAACGTCTTTGCACCACATTGTTCTCATTTTCTCATGTTAAAAACAACATTCTTCTTCTCTCATTTCCTCCCTTTCTTACATAATTTATATGTTACTTAATATTCATACAGTTTCACACATACATGCACATTTTCACGTCCCCTCCATGGCTGCCACCTTATCATGGTGGGGGGTTTGAGTGTCCCAGTGATCCTAGGAGTTCTGCTGTCGGGGCTTCATGCCTCTGGTTGGGCCACCCGATGCAGACGGGTCCAAGGTGAGGAACCAGACCAAGTGCAGCCCAAAGATCCTCATGATGAATACGACCTTTGGAAACAGGGTCGTATTCGCCCGAACATGGGGTCCCACTCTGGAGAGGCCTGGGGGCCCATGGAGCCCAACCGGGTTTTAACCCATGGAGCCCAACCGGGTCGGGTTTTAACCCATGGATCCAGGTCGGGTTTTAACCCATGGAGCCCAACCGGGTCGGGTTTTAACCCATGGAGCCTAACCGGGCCTTAACCCATGGAGCCCAACCGGGCCTTAACCCATGGAGCCCAACCGGGTTTTAACCCATGGAGCCCAACCGGGTCGGGTTTTAACCCATGGATCCAGGTTGGGTTTTAACCCAGGGATCCAGGCCGGGTTTTAACCCATGGATCCAGGTCGGGTCGGGTTTTAACCCATGGATCCAGGTTGGGTTTTAACCCATGGATCCAGGTCGGGCTCAGCCCAATGAGAGTCTATCTGTTCACCACCTGTGGGGTGAGATTGAGAGGTTCCGGCTAGAAATAGTCAGACTGACTTCAGTGGACGGTTCTGGTTCTGGAGCCAGTCTCCTTGAAAGGGGTTGGATGTTCTCCACTCTGGGGTTGCCCCCTGTGAGAGGCGCTGGGCAGGAGGGGGCATATTTGTTGCCTCCCATCTTGTTCACTCCAACGCACCAAGAGGATAGCCTCTCCCTCTACATATGGGTTTGGGTCGGTTCTGGCTACCAGTCCAGATTAGCCACTGTCCTTGGAGAATCTCTGAAGAAGAAACTGAGCACAACTTCCTTCTTCACTAAACATAAATAAAAATGGAGGCCTCAGATTTTAGCAGTTGTAGAATTTCTTTTTGCCTTTGGAGATTTAGAAATCAGTCGTTATAGATTATAGATTTAGTTTTTTACTTTTTCCATGATGTTTACATCTATTTATTATAAATGTTGCTCCCCACTGATTCTTTCTTTACGCAAAACAAAATAAAATGTTTGACTGAACCAGTAAAATTAACTTTCCAAAGAACAGATATTGAAAAAAGTTCACATGAGGTTATCATATATGCTACATGTGTCAAACTGAAGGCCTGAGGGCCAAATCTGGCCCGCCTCAGCTTTTTATGTGGCCCTCTGGACTCCAAATTATAGCAATAGGCCCATCCAGCTTTTCACAAATAACTGCAAAATTCACACAAAAATTCAACAGATCCCCACATTTTTCTCTGATTTTATCAACATTTTTTTCAAAATTATCCAAAAACATTTGGGTTCAGTTGACTGATGTTACCTGATGGCAAGTTATATTCCACGACTGACAGAGCAATTAATACAACATTAACATCATATTAGCGCAAATATTGTAAAAATTCCTTACAAATATTTCTAAATTAACATAAAAAAATCTGTTATGTTGATTGCAGAGAATCACAAAAACATTAATTTTTTCATTCAGTTTCATCAACAAAGAGAAAAAGGCAGGAAGAATCGAAATAGATCATGATTGAAATGAGGTCGAGTTTTAATTTATTGTGCGATTAATTGATTTATCGTTTATCGCGACAGGCCTCAGCATCCAACCAGCATCCATCCAACCAACATCCATCCAACCAACATCCATCCATCCAACCAACATCCAACCAGCATCCAACCAGCATCCATCCAACCAACATCCAACCAACATCCAACCAGCATCCATCCAACCAACATCCATCCATCCAACCAACATCCAACCAGCATCCATCCAACCAACATCCAACCAGCATCCATCCAACCAACATCCAACCAGCATCCATCCAACATCCAACCAACATCCAACCAGTATCCATCCAACCAACATCCAACCAGCATCCATCCAACCAACATCCAACCAACATCCAACCAGTATCCATCCAACCAACATCCAACCAACATCCATCCATCCAACCAACATCCAACCAGCATCCATCCAACCAACATCCAACCAGCATCCATCCATCCATCCATCCATCCAACCAACATCCAACCAGCATCCATCCAACCAACATCCAACCAACATCCATCCATCCAACCAACATCCAACCAGCATCCATCCAACCAACATCCAACCAGCATCCATCCAACCAACATCCAACCAGCATCCATCCAACCAACATCCAACCAGCATCCATCCAACCAACATCCAACCAGCATCCTACCATCCATCCGTCCGTTTAGAGTTTGCTGGATCACTTCTCTGTTTTTTTTTCATCATAAATCTTCATTTGTATGTTTTTAAGTTAAAGATTTAACCGGACCTCCTGCTGACCCGCAGAACTAATCAGAACCAGAAGCTTCACATACAGGCAGCCTGTCAGAGGAGTCCAGAACCAAGTTCAGTTTCCAGAACCAGGGATAACTTTGGGCTTTTCTCTGACACAGATCAAGTTTTTATTATTTAAAAGATTCTCCAGTTTATTTTAGATCTGTGATGTTTTTCTTTCTGACCCAGATGGTAAAGTTCTGCCCGGAGACCTAACCCACTACGTGGTTCCGGACGCCGAGGTGGTACTGAACTACCTGGAGGTTCTGGAGCTGGTGGAGCTGCAGGGGGTCGTGTTCACGCAGACGGCCTGTCAGGCTCTGCACAGCAAGGGCCGCAGGTAGGAGGACCGAACCAGAACCAGAACCAGAACCAGAACCAACCTCCATAACTCCCACTGACTCAGCAGCCTCGCCTTCTGCACAGCGCTGCTCCTGGATCACCTTTTCTATCCCTGCAGAACTCTGCAGGAGGGAGCCGGGTCGGCCTCATTAGACCCGGTTCTGCTGACTCAGCTGTGACCCGCAGGAAGCTGTTTTATAAGGAGCCCTGTCTGACTCGCACTTCCTCTGCGGTTCGGTTCTGGTTTCTGCTGACGTGGTGGAGGGAAAATGTTGCATCATTAATGTGCTGTTAGGTGAGGAAGCTGCAGGTTCAGCGTGTAGCGGTGACCTTTGACCTCCTCTGGCCCCAGATTCACCCAGAACGTCTCCATTTGGATTGGCAAATAGAGTCTGAGTTCTGTATCCAAGAACATTTTCCTAGAAAGTTGCGTGGAAGGAAAACATGTGTGCCAAATGTAATTTTCCAGGATCCACCAGGGGGAGCTGTAGCTTGTTGAAGAAGTTTTTTTGGCTAAAATCTGTTATTTCTTATGAGAAGAAATTGAAACATGCCAGAGTTCTGCTCCTCTGCAGGTTCTACAACCGTCTGAGGAACCTGCTGAAAGACCCGCGGCATGACTGCGTCCTGTTTGCTAACGAGTTCCAGGAGTTCTCCTACTGCCCCAGAGAGAAAGGAGAGAGCCAGGAGAAATGGCAGACCAGGTGAGTCCTCCCAGGCGACCCCCAGGTGACCCCAGAACCAGCAACCCGGGTCAGAGTTTACTGTAAACAAAGTGTAGGATTATAGAACAAAAGGCTTAAGTCCAACTTAAAGGGATCCACGATGAGTTAATGTCAGCTTGTGCTAATGGTGTTAGCTCTAGCTAATATAGATAGCTCTACATGATGGAATTAGCATTAGCTTCTGCTAATTGTGTTAGCTCTAGGTAATATAGAAAACTCTACATAATGGCAGTGGCATTAGCTTCTGCTAATAGTGTTAGCACTAGCTAGAGCTAACACTATTTAATGGAGTAAGTTCCTGCTCATGGTGCTACCTGAAGCTAATGATGTCATCGCTAGTTTATGACATTTGCTCCTGCTGCTATTGTTAGCTTTAGCTAATAGTGTTGCTTTAAGATCTCAGGTCTGGTTGTTGAACCTGTGTGTGTGTGTGTGTCTGTCTGTGTGTGTGTGTGTCTGTGTGTGTGTGTGTGTGTCTGTGTGTGTGTGTGTCTGTGTGTGTCTGTGTGTGTGTGTCTGTGTGTGTGTGTGTCTGTGTGTGTGTGTCTGTGTGTGTGTGTGTCTGTGTGTGTGTGTCTGTGTGTGTGTCTGTGTGTGTGTGTGTCTGTGTGTGTGTGTGTCTGTGTGTGTGTGTATGCGTGTGTGTGTGTGTGTGTGTGTGTCTGTGTGTGTGTGTGTGTGTGTGTGTGTGTGTGTGTATGCGTGTGTGTGTGTGTGTGTGTCTGCGTGTGTGTGTGTGTGTGTGTGTGTAGGTGTGTGTACGCCGCTGCTGTGTGGTACTACAACCACCTGGCTGGGATGATGAACCTGGTGATGATCACTGAGGACCCGGACGCCGTGACCCGGTTCTGCAGCCTCCACTCTGGAGTTTACGTCATCAGCGTCCAGGTGGGGATGTTCGGTGGCCAGAGCAACCACCCCGATGCCACGCTCATCTCCACCTTCTTCATTTTCAGGAGTACCTGCAGAGCTTCTGGCCGGCGCTGCAGGCCGCCCACGATCTGTACGGATCCGTCCGCCAGGCACTGCAGGAGAAGGAGGCCGACGGCTCGCAGAGGAGTTCCCGGAACATTTACCTGCTCAGGTTCTGGAGGCCGGGATCAAGTCCGGACGCTTCGTCCAGGTCTGGACCTGCAGGTATTCTGGTCCAGGATGTGCTGATGGAGCTCCTGATTGGACCGTTTCTCCTGCAGGGAACCCTGAACGTGAGCAAACATCGCGCTCAGAACGAAGCCTTTGTCACCAGCGACGGTTTGTCCTCTAAGAGCCCAGGTGAAGGTCGCCACGGTCGGTGAGTTCCTCCAGGTGAAGCTCTGAGGTCACCCTCCTCTCTTCCTGCCTCAGACCTGAGCGCCGGCGTACTGGTGGCGGGTTCTAAGAGCCGGAACCGGGCCGTGCACGGCGACCTGGTGGCGGTGGAGCTGCTGCCCCGAGCCGAGTGGCGAGGGAAGGTCACGGCTCTGAGCGAGGGCCGGCGGACGAGCGGAGCGACGACGAGACCAAGCCCGTGCCGACAGGTGGGAGGGGTTACGCGGGCCGTGTGGGTCTATGCGGGTTCTGACCTCTGACCCCGGCAGGTCGCGTTGTGGGGATCCTGCAGAGGAACTGGAGGGACTACGTGGTGACCTTTCCCCCCCGGGACGCGGCGCAGGCCCAGAGTCGGGCCCCCAGCGCGTCCTGGCGGTTCCCTGGGACCGCCGGATCCCCAAGGTCCGGATCAGCACCCAGCAGGCCGACGCGCTGCAGGTCCGCTTGTTATGCCCGTTACCATGGCGACAAAAGCTTTCAATCTGGTTTGATCCCAGGTTAGCCTTAATCCCAGGTTAGCCGTAATCCCAGGTTAGCCTTAATCCCAGGTTAGCCGTAATCCCAGGTTAGCCTTAATCCCAGGTTAGCCGTAATCCCAGGTTAGCCGTAATCCCAGGGCTAACCTGGGATTAGCCCTGGAGTTATTATTGGTTTGTTCCTGAGTTTTAATCTAATCCTGATTTGATTCTGATATTTTCAGTATCGTTTAGTTCTGGTTTAGTGGCAGTTAAATTGTTCCTACATTTAAATCTAGTTTCAATTAGTTTTATTTAATTAGTATTTAATCTGGTTTAAGATGTTAGTCGTAGTTCATTTAATCCTAGTTTTATTCTGGATTTAATTCTGGTTTCACTCTTGATATTTAACCCTGATTTAAGCAGAGTGGGCTCTCCAGCAGGTTCAGCTGCATCCCAGACTCTATAGCCTGAGTTAAAGGTCAAAGGTCATGTCAGCCCAGTTAGGTAAAGGAACCAGTAGTGATTAAAGCTGGTAACAGGAAGGAAGCTCCGGTGTTGGGATTCAGTCGGTTCTGGTGGTTCGGTTCCCCCTGCAGGACCACAGGGTGGTGGTTCGGATCGACTCGTGGCCCAGCACGTCGCTCTATCCCAACGGACACAGCGTGCGGGTTCTGGGCCGGGCCGGGCAGCTGGAGACGGAGGTCCAGACGGTCCTGATAGAGAACTGCATCCACGTGGCGCCGTTCTCCGAAGCCCAGGTGAGATCGGACCCGGCGGTCGGCTGGTGACCGGCCGCCATGGGTCTGAGCGGGACGTTTCCCTGTGGTGTGGCAGCTCAGGGAGATGCCGGTGAATTCCCCGGAGAAGCCGTGGGCGGCGGATCCGGCCGAGGCGGCGGCGCGCCGGGACCTGAGGCGGACCCACCTGGTGTTCAGCATCGACCCGCCGGGCTGCGAGGACGTGGACGACACGCTGTCGGTGCGGCGCCTGGACGGCGGGAAGCTCCTGGAGCTGGGCGTCCACATCGCCGACGTCACGCACTTCGTCAGGGAGGGATCGCTCACCGACCTGGAGGCCCGGTCCAGGTAGGGCTCCAGAACCGGCACCGGGACAAACTCCTGAAGCTTCTGTTAGTTTCAGAAGTTTTTTATTTAAAGAAATTGATTTGAAAATTGTCATTTTGATCCTGAAAATACACAAATTTCCTTGTATCTTTGTTTACAGTCTGTCTGATGATGTCATCACTAATTATTGATCATTTGATCAGTCAGTTCTTGATCAGACTTTTTTCTCATTTCTTGGACAGCTACTTTTTAAAAGATGTTGAAGTTGTGCTACTTTTACTGTCGTAGAATATCTGGGTTCTCCTCTGGTCACTCATTTCATCCATATTGATTAGTTTGAATGAATAAATATGGTTAAAATATTCAGGATGAGTCGTGTCCATGTTTCCCTCTTAGAGCCACCACCTACTACCTGGCGGACCGCCGCTATGACATGCTGCCTGCTGTCCTCAGCGCTGACCTTTGCTCCCTGCTGGGCGGGGTCGACAGGTCGGTCCTCTCTGCTTCTCTGCTCACCGCCGTCTCCATCGGTCCCACCGCCGTCTCCATCGGTCCCACCGCCGTCCTGTGCTTCCAGGTTCGCCATGAGCGTCGTGTGGGAGCTGGACGCTCGCAGCCTGGCCGTCACCAAGGTGTGGTTCGGCCGGACCCTGATCCGCTCCTCCTACCAGCTGCACTACGAGCTGGCCCAGGCGCTGCTGAACGGGGAACGGGTCCAGGTTCCTGAGCTGGCCCGGCTCGACCCGGAGAGCGGGACGCCAAGCTGAGCGAGCTCATCCAGGCGCTGGAGACGCTGACGCACATCGCCAGACACCTGCGGGCTCAGAGGACCGAGGAGGAGCGCTGGAGCTGGAGGGGGTGGAGGTGCAGACGGACGTTTCTCCTTGGGAGATTTCTTATTGATTACATTTCTTACATATATATTTATAAAATTGAAAATACACATCAACATGAATCCAACGTGCTACAATCTGATCAAATGATCATTTGATCAGAACGTTGCTCGCTCCTCCTCCACAGGTCCGAGCCCAGCTGGACCAGGACAAGAACATCACGGCGCTGGTTCCCCGCCAGCCCCTGGAGGTCCATGAGACCGTGGCAGAGTGCATGATCTACGCCAACCACTGGGTGGCGCGCAAGATCCAGGAGGCCTTCCCCTACCAGGCCCTGCTGAGGCGCCACCCGCCGCCGCGCCAGGAGCTGTTCAGCCAGCTGGTGGACACGGCCCGGGCCAGGGGGTTCTCCATCGACACCAGGTGGGTTCCGGTCCGCTCCCCACCCGTCTGCCGGCTCACCGCCCGGCCAGAGGTGGAGACCAGCAGCAAGGCAGGAGTTTGATGTCCGTCAGCCTGACTCTGCTCCTGCAGGACCAACAAGGCCTTGGCCGACTCTCTGGACCGAGCCGTGGACCCCGAGGACCCGCTGGTGAACCGGCTCCTCAGAATGATGGCCACTCAGGCCATGTCTCAGGCCGTGTACTTCTCCACTGGAGCTCAGCCTGAGGACCAGTTCTACCACTACGGTAAACCAGTTGCGGTTGGCCATCTGGAAGCAGTTTGCTCGGCTTCCTTATCGGATCATTTCTGCTCGTCAGGTCTGGCTCTGGACCGCTACACTCACTTCACCTCCCCGATCCGCCGCTACGCCGACATGGTGGTGCACCGCCTGCTGACCGCCGCGCTGCAGCTGGAGCAGGAAGCCGAGCCTGGCAAACCGCCGGCCGGCAACAAGGACATGGAGGAGCTGGCAGAGCACATCAACAGCAGGAACCGGGTGAGCGGCTCGTTGGGTCTGGGCGGTTCTGTGCTTCCTGAATGTCGTCTGAGTTGTTGTGCGTCGGCAGGCGGCCCAGCGAGCCCAGAACCTTTCCACCGGACTCTTCCAGTGCCTCTTCTTCAAAGAGCGCGACCCGGAGACCGACCCGCGCTGCGTGGCGGACGCCATCATCTACTCCATCAGGGACAACGGCGTGCTGGTCTTCATTCCAGAGTAAGTTTCCTCCATCGGTCTGCTGTTCCTCTGGCAGAACGGTTCCTCAGCATGATTCTGCCACTGCCATGCTGGACACAGTTATATGTTCTTAAGTTTTTAGCCTCAGAAGCTTTTTTTCCTGGTAGCATCACTTCTGTCAAGTCGGGTCCCACTAAATGAAACGGACTGAATTTTACAGATATAACTTCACTTTTTCATCAAACTAAATATTTAACTTGCTGGCTAAATATGTAGTAATCAAGTTAAATATATATTTTGAAGCTAATTTTATAGCTTGCTAGCTAAAAAAATGACTTCCAAGCAAATTATTTAGCTAGCAACCGAATTACACCGTGTTCCAAAATATTATGCAAATTGTATTGAAGTGTCATAAAGATTACATTTGTTGTTGTGCTATTAAACCATCTCTGCTGATGAAAACCAGCAGACAGTGTAGAGCCGAATGACTAGATATGAAAACATGAGATATTTAAGTAAAACTGAAGCGTTTCCATCGTACTGTGAAGATTTGTGGCTGATTCAGAATGAAGATGGTTTACAGATAAAGGCTGAAGAGGAAAGTTTGTTCGATTCCTGGGTAACTGTCTGTTAAGATGATTTGGACTGAAATAGTTTTTGATTTCACATTCACAGAATGACCGACTGCAGATCTTTATAATCCATAAAATGTTTAGAAAATCTGCTGTCATAATTTGGAACAGAGCATTTTGAGTTTATTTTGGAAAAAAATAGTTTGTTCAGTAAAATTAGATTTATTCTGTAATAGTTCATGACTTGAAAATTATCCTGACCATCATTTGACCAGTTAGGAAAATGCTAAATGACTAAACAAGTCATTTTACTGCTGTTACTGTGACTTTAAACGGTTCCCAGCTGTGACTGCAGGTGCTGCTGCTTGTCCAGGTACGGAGTGAAGGGTCCGGTCTACATGAGGAACAAGGAGGGCCTGGTGCTGACGGCCGGCCCGGACGGTACCTGTGAGTGGCAGAGCGGCTCGGTTCGCCGCTCCTCGGACCACATCACCACCACGTCTGGCTGCGGCAGCGCCACCTTCAGGCTGTTTGACCACATTACGGTGAGCCACCAGAAACACCTTCATCTGGGCAGAGGCGCCGACAGCAGGTTCTGACCCGACGGCAGGTTCTGACCCGACAGCAGGTTCTGACCCGATGGCAGGTTCTGACCCGACGGCAGGTTCTGACCCGACGGCAGGTTCTGACCCGACAGCAGGTTCTGACCCGTTTTTAAATTGCAGCAGTAAACGAGGTTAAACTCAGATGACCTTTGCTCCAGAACCTTTGGATGAGACCAAAGTGTTTTTCAGAGTCGGCCTGTTTCCTTTGTGCAAACTTGAGGTCAAAGGTCAAGCGTATCCTCAGACTCACTGTTGAAATGGGAACATGTCAGAACTCTCTCCGACCCGTCCCCAGGTCCGGATCTCGGTCCTCTCCTCTAACTGCCACGCCGACACGCTGACCCTGCAGGTCATCAGCAACCAGCCGCACCTCGGCGCGCCGCGGCCCGGTTCACCGCGGCCCGGCTCGCCGCGCCGCAGCCAGCTGGTGCAGGAGGTGGTGCGGCTGGCCGGGGAGGTGCAGGAGAAGGCGGCGCGTCGACCCGAACTCTCCAAGGAGGAGCGGGAGTTCCGGCAGAGCAGAACCCCCAACCTGTACTCCCTGCTGGAGGAGATCCGGGAGCTGGCGCTGATGGACCCAGACGCTGCCGCGCGGGCCGGCACCGTGACGGCGTAGAGTTCTGACCCAACGCTCCAACCGACAGAAACCAACAAATGAGATGTGGGAAAATGTTTTTAACTTGTTTTAGTAGAAATGTTCTGGTTCTGGAGGGAAAACGATTCACCATCAGAACATGAACTCTGACCCAGTTTCATCCAATCAACTGTTTATTATTATTGGACATTTAATATTAAAATCACTCGAACACAGAACCGACCGTTCTGGTTGTTTTCTAGAACCTGTTACAGTCCACTGCCATGGACCAGAACCGGACCAGAACAGAAACATCCCGGTTGAAACTAAAATGGCAGAACTTTTTCAGGATCCAGCTCAGGAACCAGGAAGGTTCTGTGGTTTGGTTCTGGTAGAAGGTTCAGTTGCAGAGATCCAGTTTTTGACACACCTCAGGGTTGGGAGCTTGGACTCCTTCCTTTCTCCTCCTCAGTAGGAAGTTCTGCTGGAGGGTCGGGTTCAGAAACCGCAGGTGGAGGAGTCTTTGTGCTGCCGGACGGATCCGGGTCCAGATGTTCTCCTGGCTTTCTGGTTCTGCTCAGTAGACCTGTTGAGATCTGCTGTGAGGTCACTTCCTGTCGTCGTGTCAGCCTGGGGCTCTGAAGGATCTGAGGAAACAGAAACTTCCTCAAGTATTGTTCGTGGATGGCCGGGTTCTGAGCGCCCTCTAGTGGTTCTGGTGGAACCGTCTCACCTGCCTGCTGCTGCCGGGCCAGTCGCCTCTCCAGCGCTCGCTGCCGGTTCTGCTCCATCCGCCGGCGCTGCTCCTCGGTCAGGGTGGGAGGCGCCGGAACCGAAGCCGGGGTGGAGTGGACCGGACCTGGAGGATCGGGAAAGGAGGCCTGGCTGACGAACGGATCGGGATCCTGGACTCCAGGCGGCGGCTCCTCCGCTCCTGGAAACGAGAAACAAAAGTTTAAAATACAGTCAGTTTGTGAACAACCACTGATTTCTCATCGTGTTACAGATTTCTACATGCAGATGAATTTATTGGCTGCAAAGCATCATGAGCTGCTGGAGAGTTTTTGCAAAAATGAAATCAGTTTCTGAATTTAAACATATAGCCATTGGTGTTTCCACTAAAATTAGGAATAATTTAGAATTATGGTCACGTTATGTGTTTTAATATATCTTATATAGACAGCATTATTTTTGCCTAAATATATTTATTACACATTAAGATTATTTAATGAGTTTATCAGCAAGTTTCACGCTGTCCATGAATTGCCTGAAGTTCAAACTCCAACCACTAGAGGGCATCAGAGGACTTCCTGATCTACTTAGACAGCAGATGCATCAACCAACATTTGTAATATTTATACATCTCCAGTGAAGAAGGTAGAAGCTAATTAGCTTCACTAGCCCATTAGGGGTTAAGGTCAAAATTATTTAAAACTGACTGATTTTCATACATAATCAAGCATTACAATAAAAGTTGGACACTTATAAATCTGGCCCAGAGAACATTACTGTGACGGCCTGAAGGTCCAGTCCGACTCACCTGGTTGTCCATGAAGTCTTCGTCTGTGAGGGGCATGTCCAGTCGGATCCGTTTCAGGCAGGTCTGCAGCGGAGAGGAGGAACCCGTTAGAACCCTGCGCACAGAGGACTCTCCCGTCCTGCTTCACCCACCTGAACCTCCTTCTTGCTGCCGAGCTTCTCCACCCGGTCGATGAAATCTTCAAACTGTAGTTTGGGGAAGAGCCGGTGGCCCAGTTCTCCATCTTCTGCATGAGCAGCCGCAGGTCCTCCGCCTGCCAAAGAGCCGGGTCCAGACGTCCAGCAGAAGCAAAGAGGATTCGATTAAACGTGTGAGTCTTTTACAGATGAGACATTTTAGATCCAACAGAAACAGCTGGATATGGAGAATATGTTTTAGAGCACATCAGGCAACTGTTACCTTCAACTGTTATAAAATTAGACTTTGTTATTTAGTGCCTTGAAATTGGGTCTCTGTCTCTTTAAGAAGTTCCTGCTCTTTCTGAAGCTCCGCCTCCAGGAAGTGGTCCCAACATGGCTCCTCTATTAACAGCTTAACGTTTTACCAGCGTTGCTCTGAGCAGCAGCTGCTATAACGAGCTCAGCAGTTGCACCAGCTGTTTGCTAATTGCTGCTGGCTAGTCTGAAGGAGCTAGTCCTCAAAGGTCCACACAGGCGTTTTGTAAGTGAATGGTTACCATGGAGATTAAAGGATTTCTCAAACATGAAAGAATCAAAGCAACATGAAGGAAAAACTTTACAACATGATAGAAAGATCATCCCTTTAAGATGTTTATTTTTTAGTGAATGATGACTAATCAAACCTTGTTTCTCACCTCGTGACCTTTGCCCTTAAAGTGAGCGCTAGCGAACAAGGACCGCAGAGCCGGCAATCCTCTGTCTGAAATGAGCCTGAGAGGAAACAACATCCGTCATGAGCGTCTGGATTATCCACCAGAGGAAGGCGACCTGTCGTGATGGGAAACCTCTGGGAGTCCAGCTTCGTCTGCGGCCGCTTCACTCCTTTCCTCTTGGCAGCCGGAACGTCGGCCAGCTTGGACACCTCGCCTTCCTCAGCTGCAGCACAACGACAGGAGGCCGTCACCAGACGTCACGTTTATCTCCGCTGATGTTTAAAAAACTCTCACCTTCTCCAAACGAGTCGTCCTGCGACTGAGCTGCCCCAGGGGACAAAGGCGGAGGAAGGAGGGAAAGCTTCATCCTCCAAGTTGGACAAGTCGCTCATCCCGTCGTCCTGCTGGTCGTTCATGGCGGCTGAATCCTGAGAGAAAACAAGCAACCGCCATCAGATTCAAACTGCTAAATACTACAGCTGAATATTTACGGGTTTTAATCAGGTTTTTATGTTCAATCACAGCATTAGGACCATCTGGAATAAACAAACTGAGTTGATAATATATCTGATGTGTTGGATGGATGCTAGAAATACAGTGATGAGAAAGTGATGAAATATGAGGAAAACAGATGAAAACGGAGTCACGATATTCAGTAACTAGTTTTCTGTGTTATGCAGCTCAAGTTTCTGTTTCATTTATATAATTTACATATACTTTTAATTCATGTTTTACATATTTAAATATTTCATTATTCATTTATCTGTTTTGATCCTTTTTATTTTATATGACTTATTTGTGCTTCATTTAGTAATTTCAAATATTCTTATTTTATAACCTTCAAAAAAATTGTAATTTATTTAAAATTTTTCTTACATTTCATTTATTTTATATTCCTTTTTATGTGCTTATTTTATTTATTATTATTTTTTTGGAATAATAACATATTTCACTGTTACTTGATGATTTCATTTAATACATTTTATTTATTTACCTTTATTATTTTATTTTGCAGTTTAATTATATGTGCCTTATTTATTTTAGATTTTTCTATTTATTGTGCTGTATTTGTTGCTGCCTTTGACTCAAATAACTCCTGGTTTCAACCAGAGTATTTGTTTTTACACTGCAATTCCCTGCCTGTACTGTAGAGGGCGGTAACACCGTTGGAGAGTCTCCAGAAGAAGTAGCAATGAAAGCGGTAAACGCTAAAAAAAACATCAAAAACAGAAAGACTAGCATGTTAACCGGACACAGAACCGATATTTGGATTAGTTCCGATAACTCGCCTCGATACGGAGACATGTAGGTGTTAAAAGTCTTCTTTGTTTGGCTTCTGAACCGAATGTGACAGTAATTCAGACACAAACTAAATAAATGAGCTGAAATAAAAACCAGCGGCGGCCAGAGAAGACCTGGAACTAATGAAACTTTCAGTTTTGACCCGGAAGAGCCTTGACCTGGATTAAAACTCTGTGAAATAAAACTTTACTGTACCTTTCGATGAGCTGCAGCGCCAGAGAATCAGAGGACCCGCCACTGATGCGCCTTCTTCTTCTGCTGTTCATGAGAAGCCTGCAGCGCTGCTGCCCCCTGCTGGATTCATCAGGTTTTACACCAGGACAGAAAATGAATCCCAGCATAAATTAATGCGGTTACCAGTTTCTTCAACCAATTAAAAATAACACCAGACCTTCGAAGAGTTCATCCTGTCACTGTTTATTATTCTTGTCCTGTCGGCTGCTGAACCTGTCTTGTATTTTTGTCCACATCAAAATGTAATTATTCTGGAACCTGCTGATAAATATTAGGTAATTTGTATTATGTCAATTTTAAAACCTGCAGGGGAATCATTTTTTCAATGAGTGAATCTGTTTTCATATTTATTTTTCACCAAGTAAAAAAATAAGTGATTATTATACTTATTTTTTAAGTGTAATAATTGGAACTTTCCAACCCTCCTACTGTAGAGGAGTTAGGTTCATACCTGGTAAATGAGCTGCTTGATGAAAAATAAATAATGTTAGATTTATATACTACACAAACCCTCTAAATATTCCTCAGATTTAATATGCACATTTAAATCACTTTATTGTCATATCAAATTTAGAAATACAACTGGTAATAAAAGCTTAAATATGATGAAACTCATAACAGTAAAAACAAAATTCAGCCTGGTTGTTTCTTCCAGTCAGAAACTGTTTGAACAGTTCAGTCCAGTCTTAGTTCAACCGTAAACCAGGCTTACTAATAATTTGTTGATTAATAATCATATTCTGCTTGTTCTGACTGTTTATTGATGACCCGACTGGAACAGAACGGCAGGGCGGTCAACAGGAAGACGCCGCTCTCATTGGTTCCTGCTGAGCTTTGCTTCCACAGACGAGGCGACCCGGGCGTTCCTCAGAGGCGTCGGCGCAGCAGAAACATGAAGAAGACGGCACTGAGGAGGATGCAGAGCGTGCAGACGGTGGGAACAAGGATCTCTGTGACCATCTCCATGTGGCCGATCAGGGATCTGCAGCCAGCAAAAGAGAAAATACTCAGAAAACAGAAACAAATTTACAATACAAACATTTTAACTTGAGTAAAGTGCTTGTTTTTCAAACACACCTAAAGTATTGGAAGTTAAAGTAGAATGTTATCACCATCTGGGCATTACGCCGCCCT